TTATTGAAAGATCTATTTTTAGCTACTTAATTTTTATTTTAATGGATTTTTTCCATCTCAATTTTTTGCTCCAAACGAGTACTCCGACTGATCGACAAGAGTTTCGCTATCATGATATTCGTGAAAGCCATTTACACTAGTCGAGATTTGGTAAAATGCATCATCTATAAAGGGTATATTTGCTGGTAGCACTGCATTTGTAGTTTTTTTTTTCGAAATAGAGCTTCCAACCAACGGTTGATGGTCATAGTCAAGTTAATAAAAATTGCAGCTTTATAAGGAGAGAATGATTCCGTTGTTGGTGGCTCATTGTTCTCGTAAATTTGATGCTTTCCCACAAGCACTTGTCGAAGGAATAGCATGTGAGTCTTGTGTACAATCGAGTGCAGGCATTATAGCAAAAATATTGCGAATAGCGAAAAACATATTAATGATTATAAAGATTCTTTTTTCAAGCTGCAATAATTTCTGGTTTCGACTTCCAAGACCAACTTCACAATGATGCTTTCATGATTCACGAACTGAAGGTTACAATTGAAAAGCAACTGCGCGCCGATTTCGAAGTGCTATGGTTAGCATTCTTTTGTGGTTGTTTTTCTCACTCAATTCGTTTCATCGCTAATTATATTGCTTTGTAGCTCAAATGTGAAGGCTGTGAGTGAGGTTGTTGGTGGGCAGTTTGTCACGGCTACAGGGTAATATTTGCCACCCGGGTGAACATTGGCTTCGAAGTCTATCCGTCTGACACATTGTTTTGATATTTTCTTTTTTTAATATCGACTACTAAAGTGCATGCCTAGATTAGACTTATTATTTGTATATTTTGTATTCCGTAGAATACCGATGATATCAGAATTTGAAATAATGTTATCACCTATTATCTTCACCATCACTGGAGATTCTTAGCCTGCGCCTGCTTTGCTTGATTTCATTGCTATCACTTATCTCTCATTATTGAAATCTTATTTTTTATATACGCCACGTCTAAATTCTTGGAATCCCCATTATTCTTCTGAAGAAAAGATTTATCTTCCTTGCTGGTTGATTAAATAAAGGTGAGCTTTACATGGGAGGGTGGACGCTGAAGTTCGTTTTTATTAATTCTAGTCTCCTGACACTTCAGATGCGGTAAAAGAGCTGCTTTTGTACATCCAGAGCAGGTTTTTTTCTTCTAATCACATAATTGATGAAAGGCTCAGGTAACATTGTTTTAAGGGATTTTTGAACGGTTTTGCAATCACCTACAGACGCTACGGCTATATCAGCAGACTTCCATTGCCTGTTATCCATCATGCGTCGGCAGTTATGACAAACGGCAGCCGACGTGCGCAACGGACGCTTGAGGCGGTGCTGTTCTTTGATATATCAGAATTTACTGCCTCATGCTAGCTTTCGATTCTTGAAGGGCTCCGACTTGGCTGTTATTATGAAAACCCTGAAAGCATCCCTATCTAGCAGATGGTTTGGTTCATGGAAATCGGAAGTCATCAAGAAAGCAAGTTATAAAAAAACGAAATCGCAATCATCGCCGACAATTTGGGGAGTCGATGTTGGCGATGGTTGCGAAGCCAACTAAGTTGTTATACGAATAAGAGGGAAGTTATCCAGGTAGGATGAAGCTTATCAATGCGACAGGATGCCAGATTGCTAGTCAGAGGAGCACAGTGGCAACTGCTTCGACGTTAGTCAAATTAGAGCGCAATAAGGTGCACATGGAGGTGATGGGGCAGTGGGTAGCGTGCACTGCCCCATCACCTCCATGGCGCTAGAATCGAATCTCAGGCCGATTCCCGTCCAAGCTAAGCCAGCCGTATCCTTCTCAACTAAATAGATTACTTGGTACCAGATTCGTCTGCCAGTATGAACAGCACTGACTTGTTCATTGGTTGGCATTTGCCTATCATTGCATAGGCCGTATATTCAAAACATCACTATTCTGAATGGAATTCGAATGCGGGTCGCGTCCCAAAATGCGACTTACTGATACCAAGGACTTTGCGGTGTGCAACTGTAAAATTAGATAGTGTACATGTAGCTCACAGATCCGGGGGGTTTTCGTCTTGGAAGGGCACATGCGAGTACTCGGGTACTACTATTCACAAGCTCTTCAACTAACTGAACATAAGTATCTAGTAAAGTAGTAGTAGAGCAATTATCAATTACATCCTTATGCCTATCAAGTAACTCTTCCAAAACCTCTTGGCACTGCAAAGTATTTGATCTGATAGGATGTACCACACCTCAACCTAATGGATGGGGGTTCCTCTACCTGCACGGCGTGCCACGCTCGCCGCTTCCTATCGCGCGTAACAGCGCTTATACATAGGATACAGTCAAGCTTCCGGTGGAGGATTGCGATAATTGCTACGAATGCCCTGCCGATTAACGCGAGGATTCGGGCGGGTATAAATACCGCCTCTGTAATCTTGTCGTCAGAGTCGGAGAGTCATGATGCTTTCGTTTGGTTGAGAGCTTTCTTTTGCTGGGGATGTAATATCACAGTGAGGCGCTTGGCAGGTATTGCCTAGTCCAATTTTTCGACTGTAGCAATCATTCGCGAATGTCAAAACCTAAATATCGCTCAAATGAAGGATTTTAAGAAATGGTACGAAATGGAGAGCTCGGTCTTCCGACATCATGATTACATGGCCCTAATAGGAAAAATCTGAACGGAAGTCTCCTCATGCTGTTACTCATTATGAGATACCAAAGTAGCTGCATACATTTGTTAACAAGTTTATTGTGAATGAAAATCAATCTGAACAACACAGACTAGAGCTAATGATGTATAATAGGGATAGGAAACGGAAAAAAGAGGGATGCGTCACCATAACTGTTCACTCACTAAAACATATCCCGCTGAGAGCTCGCTCTGGATCACTTGGAGTGTCTAGAAGACTCCCGATTAGTAATAAACATGGAGTCGGAATTGAAAGAGAGAGTGAAAATTCACCGCCAAGTTTTGTCGAATCCCTCCATTTCTGTTAAAACCCGACCCGAACAAAGGAAACTAACATCATAATCCGAATGGCTGAAAGCAAGTAACACTTATGTTGGTTACCAAACTGACTCTGCTCCAGATGAGGAGGGTGAGCCATCACTGCCGATGTTGGTGGTTCTATTTCGTGGTTCATGACCAATTTCGCGATGATTTCCAATATGTGGCGAAAATCGAAACTTCAGCTTGGAATTATTTACAATACTTTTTGTTATGCTGCACTGACATTTTTTTCTGAAAACTATTTTTTAGTCTCTGTTCTCAAGCTGGATGCACTCACTTTTGAATGTGCTCTCATTTTTATGATTTAGCCACCAGTGAATGGATTTTAAAAAAGTGTAGCGCACTCTAGAATCACTGATAGTTGCTGGTCAATGTTTTTTTATGTACACGAAACCTTCAAAGGAATCGCTTACTTATCAGTTCGTATGTGAATTTCAACTTCAAAACGGCCATGCTATGCTCAACGCTCTGCCCTTCTGTCTCTAAACTAACTAGAAGTTATAACATTCCGATTTCAATCATAAACAACAACAAGGACATTGAGTGCACACATTATTTTATTAATAACTTAATCGATAAGTATAATTACGGATTAGCGCAGAAAGAGGAGGACATACTTTCGTAAAACAATCCCATGATGAAGTGGTAACATCAGAAACCTCAAACATACATGAATATACAGAGGGTACAGGACACTCTAAATAATTTAACACTGCTGTTTACTAGATGGAGGAGGTGATGACAGCTGAGGTGATGACAAGATTGCATTTCTGCGAGATCGAATATGGTGCTCTTCGAAGCCGCGGATCAAAGCCTGGAGCGTTCACACAAATCAAAACTGTTCGCATGCCATACAAGGAACTCCTCTGTAGCTAACTGAACTGAACAACCTAACGATTGCGAAAAGAAGTTTGGGAGCACATGCACTCCTTTTTTTCTCGTCCTCACATGGAGATAGGAAAAGTTCCGTTTTCGACTTTGGTCCTTCTATACTTTTATCTAAAAAGTAACTAATACCCACCATAGGCTCATAATGCTTGAGAATGTGGGTCGCAAGGATTTCGACGACATCGCAGTTCTTGAATTGCACCACTGCGAACAAAAGGTCAGCTCGTCGAATAAACCCATGAATACGTTCCACCTGCAAATATGCTTGTTAGGTGAGTTACCACAATAAGTTATGCGCAGGCAACTTGGTGCTCTTTTTTAAACGCTATACGGTCATTTCCTAAGAGCTACGTTCTACTACACAAGCATAACAATAGTCAACACAGAAATTAAGTGACTCACCGTCAAACCTCGGTCAAAACCATGAGGTCGAACAAACGGTCCCTTGGAGATTGGCTTAAAACAACCTCTTTATCCAAATGAAAATAGACATATGAAAGAATTTCAATGAACTATACCTCGGATTTGTTCAGAGCATTCTCTTGAATATCGCGAGACCCTTGATCCTGTCTCACGTCTTGCTGAATCAAAAAGCAAAAAACATTACAATCAAAAACATATAACTTTAGAGAAACTCATTTCTTATACAAATATAGAACTGTAGTACAAAACATTGAAGACAACTGCGCTAATCACTTACAAAGAGAACTTGAGAAACGGCACCACACATCTGTCGAAACAAAAAGATGATAAAAATATTTCGAACGAGTATCTGTTAAATTTAATGCTTTCTAAGGTAAAGATAAATATGGCAGCTTATACGTCAAATATCCTGCTGCAGATCCAAACATATCAACCAGATTGCATTGTGTCAGCTATAGTGCCACTGTTGGAATAGTTCGCCTGGTAAAGCAGGATCATAAAAAACATTTGTATACCGTAAAACAAGTACAGCGGCATATAGCACAGTGCGAATACATGAAGAAGGCTATGAATACGTGGCGATACAGTATAAGCAGCAGCATATTCAATTACATCCCCGACATTTTTAGTTCCTATCTTTTGTCACCAGTTTTACTGATGGGAAATGACCATTTATTTGTTTTTTTGACCAAATTATGCAAATGCGGAAAGCAGCGATGGAGCATGCTCTCTCCTTCGCGTTACATGCAAAACGATAACGTTCGATTGGTATTATTCGTTCGTTCGTTTTCGTTTTTGGTATTCGTTTTGCATGTAACGTGAACCACTGCCACACATGGCTGACATTCAACTCACTAGTTAACCCTGAAAGAGGCTGCGCTCTGTTTCAGCTCCCGGCTTATAATGGTGCAAAAACCGTATCAGTTGATCATGCGAAGAGTAATGCAAAACAATAAATAAATGGAAACAGAGTGCAGACAAGTGATACAAGTTCTCAATGAAGGCAGGTTGAAAACTGAAGAATAAAGTGTATATTTTGAAAAACTTGAAACTTAGAAATAACAGATTGACGTGGGACTCTTGCGATTTTTTATTTTCTGAGGAATGAGGAATTTAATACTAGCGCAGGTGAGAAAATATGCACACCATGCAAACCAAAAAGACATACATATAAGAGTAAAGCAAACGAAGATCTTTCTTACATGGAAATTCTTCCGTTTGAAAGCATTCGGTTCGAAGACCTTTAAGCTTTAGACGTTCATCCATAACTGTCAATAATGATTTGCGTGACACGCCCTTACCCGCAATTAGGTAGTAATTGCGTGAAGTGACAGATGCCATTTGTCAGCGCTTGGCTACCTTAGAGTTCTGCTTTCCTAGAACTAATTGTGGGCCTCAGACCTTGAACAACGAAAACAAAGAGTATCATTAATTGCAAACTAGATGGGAGCTCCACCGCGCCCGCGCAACCAAAACTTAATCGGCGCAACTTGTCAAGAAAATGGAACAAAATTTATCTTCAATCCACGCTTCTTACCCCTATGGCAAGTCATTACGGTAACACGAATCCGATCTATGCACGAGTAACAAATCTGAACTATGCAAGAGCCGGTTCTCGCTCCGCATAAGGCGCTTTCTCTAGCAACGTGGGTGAGCATCTGCATGCATGGCGCCGTGATGGGTCAATGTAGTAGGTAACGTAACCCCCATAATGTAGCCAGATTGGCCTTTTAAAAGAATTTTTTTGCTATTTTGAGGACTACATTAGCCTTCACGGTTTGAATCTACTTGAAAAAGACATTACTATTGAACAAAATCACCAACCTTAGTCTCAGAAGGAACAGATGGAGACGCGCTTTTACGCAAGTCATCCTCATAGGGACCGGGGGCACTGCAAATATTAAGCACTGAAACAGGTTGCTAAAAGAATATGCTCAAATGAAAACGCGAACGACGTTATGTATTCATTACACAAGACTATGATGGTGTACAGTGATAGGAACACACATGTGTAGGATTTATAGCAACCTGCAGTTCTGCCTAGTTTTCTTTATTTTTATTATGAGACCAGCACAAGATTAGCTAAACAATAATGGTCGGCTTGAACTGTAAGGCATGAACTGGGATGAACACATGAAGAGAGATGGCAGCATGACACACTCAAACTTCCTTCAAATATTTTGATGTCTAGAACAGGCTCTAATGAACTGCTGCTCAGGGAAAGGCTCATCATGCCTCAGTGAAACAAATGCATTACAGGATTTAAAAGTATGAGTAGATATTCTCGTGAAACATACCTGTTATCGCTTAACTTCGAAAGAGGAACAGCAGTTGAAGGCGAAGAAGTTGTGGTGGCACCGGATAACGACTGCCTGCGCTTCCGTTTCGGAAATGTGGGAGGAAGAGGTGTCTAGAAAGCAGGAGCTTGAGAAAAGTTACTGTCAGTTTCGCCGCTCTCCCTTTTGAAAACTCTTTCATTAGCATTTTTTCGGTAACTTGGGTACTTCATATGGACAGGACTGCTGTCTTA